GTTAGAACCTGATCCAAACAGGATCCTTCTTAGCTTAAGAGAGGAAACTGAACCAAGTGTAAATCCAGCCAATCTTTATGGGCATTCCCTCACAAGGGGATGGAAAAAAAATCTATGCGGTAGCTAGGAGTCGAAAACAACTTGATGGCACATAATCAATCAATCCTCACCAGGGATTTGAAGCATCCCTAGCAAACGCCCTTTCAAATAATCACAATGGTGATATAACAATAATGAGGACAGACAGGCTTCTGATCGCCCACAACAATGGCTGGCTGATGCCACGCTTGTTGTGAAATAAATTCCAATTCTTGCATTTCATTTTGATCTCTCCTCACTATTCTTCCCCTTTCCCCACCCTCGACTCAACATGGATGAATATATATTATATTTTTTTTACAATATATACCGAGTAGCAGTGAGGGCCTCAGTGCCATTACTGCTTTGTTTCAGCTGATGCAGAGCAGGGAAATGACAGTCCCTGTGCCCAAGAAAGTCCCTGTGCCCAAGAACCAGGACATCTACAACCTTGCTCTCCTGCCTTTCTTTCCTTTCAGTTAAGATACCATCATGGGCAATTTATTGAATTCAGAAGTATTACAGCCATCTACAGAAGCTCATGCAGCCTGGGGAAATGACGGTCCCAGTGCCTAAGAACAAGGACATCTACAGCCTTGCTGTCCTGTGTGGCAGTACAAACCCTTCAGAATATAACAAAAAGAAGCAATACAGGACACAATACAGGAACACCATGGCTGGGATATGATGCTAGACCCTCAAGATCAACATAAAGTGTTTCTCTAGGGAGAACAATACTGTTGTGCGGCCAGCGGAGCTGGCAGCAGAGCCGGACAGAGAGGAGGTTGGGGAGGAACATGGGCCAGTCCTGGGGGCTGGGGAAAACTCAAATGAGGGCTCTACGTTGGAGGCAGAGAGGGCACTAGACAGCAGTGAGGCAGAGGAACAGCTGGAACCTGTTCCCAGTGTGCGCATGCACAGAGCCGCCAGAAGACAAGAACAACTCAGAAAGCAGGGTCGACTTGGGAGTAAAGCCACACCTTGGAGGTGATTGGCCCCTCCCAGAGGAAACAAAAGAGGAGCAAATGGGGAGTGGGCTTTTGCAGGAAACATTTCGTTTGTTCCGTGACTCTGCAAGAGACTCTGCGCCAAGTTTTGCCTTGTACTGCGTTTGGAAACTAGTTACCTGGCAGCTTTCCAAGCGAGATAAAGTCTGTGTTGATAAATATTCCTTTGAAAAACTGTTTGGACAGGCCTTGCTGACTGCGAATGAAAGGAATTCAGAGTCGTGTAAATAAAAGAGATTTTGCCGGGACCAAGACTCTGCTTCCTGCTTTTTAAGGGAGGCTAGATCAGAACAAATATGCAATTCTACACCAGATTCCTCCCCTGGGAGATTGATTCCACACTTATTTCATTATCTTTTTTTTTTTTAACCAAAGGAAGCTTTGAGGATATGTTTCAAAGATCCTGGAGCACCGGGGAACTACCAGGGGACAGGAAAAAAGCTGATGTGATTCCCATTTTTAAAGGGGGGGGGGAATACATCCAGGAAACTACAGACCGATCAGCCTGACATCAGCAGGAGACCCTATATATTATTCCAGAAAAGTGGCCATCCAGTCTCTTTTTAAAAGCCTCCAGTGATGGAGCACCGACAACTTCTGAAGGGAAGTCATTCCACTGGTTAATTGTTCACACTATTAGGAAATTCCTCCTTAGTTCTAGGCTGCTTCAATCCTTGATCAGTTTCTATCCATTATTTCTCATCTTGTCTTCTGGTGCTTTGGAAAAATAGGATGATCTCTCTTCTTTGTGGCAGCCTCCCAAATATTGGAACACTGCTATCATATCTCCCCTAGTCCTTCTTTTCACTAGACTAGACATACCCAATTCCTGCAACTGTTCTTCATATGTTTTAGCCTTCAGGCCCCTAATCATCTTTGTTGATCTTTTCTGTATTTGTTTCCAGACTCTCAATATCTTTTTTATAATGTGGTGATCAAAACTGGATGCAATATTCCAAGTGTGATCTTACTAAGGCTTTATAAAGTGATACTAATTCATGTGACTTTGATTCTGTCCTTCTGTTAATGCAGCCTAGGATTGCATTGTTTTTTTTTGGCTGCTGCCACAGACTGGTGGCTCATATTTAAATGATTGTCCATTAGGACTCCAAGATCCCTCTCACAGTTACTGCTATTGAGCCAGGTTTCACCTAATCTGTACCAGTACATTTGTTTTTTCTTGCCTAAGTGTAAAACCTTAGTTTTTTTTCTACATTGAATTTAATTTTGTTAGATAGGGCTCTGTGTTCAAGTCTGTTGAGATCTATCTGGACCTTGGGCCTATTTTCCAAGTAGACGTAGTTCCATTAAGGCAGGGGTCTGCAACCTTAAATACTCTAAAGAGCCATTTGGCCCCTTTTCCCTGAGAAAATACCGGGAGCCACAAAACCTCAGTGGGCATGGCCAACTCGATGTCACTCACTTCCACCAGTCACATGACCCCTCTTAGCCACGCCTACGCAGCCGATCATTAGGGCAGAGAACCACTTGTTAAAAAACACCGGGAACCACAAAATCCTTTTGACATATCTCTCTCTCCCCTCCCTCCCTCTCTCTCTGTATCTCTCTATATCTCTCTCTCTCCCCCTTTCTCTGTATTTCTCTGTCTCTGCCCTGACTGCTTCTCCAACCCCCGCCATCGCCCTTACCTTCTCAGGCCAGGCGAGGAGTGACTGGGAGGGGAGGGCGAGGTGCAGGGTCAGCCAGTGGTGGGATCACTTGACAGGGAGCCACAGCAGAGGGCCCAAAGAACCGCATGCGGCTCCAGAGCCACAGGTTGCTGACCCCTGCATTAAGGACTACACATTGAGTGTAATTTGTCAACATTGCAGACTCATCTGGTGGTGATGTCTTTCCCACATTTTTCTAGCTTATCAAAAAGTAGGTTGTTATGCCTTACTGAAATCCAAATATACTATGCCCAATGCATTTCGCTGTTCTACTAATTTAATTACTTTTGTTAAAGAATGAAATAAGATACGTTTGGCATGATCTGTTTTTGACTAACCCATGTCAGCTTCTGGTTGTAACTTTGTTTGCCTTTAAGTGTTCGTGGATTTGTTGCTTGATTATCTTTTCTAGGCTCTCCCCAGGTATTGAGGTCAGATTGATTGACCTATAGTTTCCTGAATCTGTTCCCCCCCCTTTTTTTGAAGATGTGAACCACAAGGGCTCTATTCTATAATATAATAAATAATATAATATATAAGTGCTATAGAACACTGCACACCAAAACAACTAGACACAAGAACAGTTTTCCCCCCCGAACGCCATCACTCTGCTAAACAAATAATTCCCTCAACACTGTCAAACTATTCACTAAGGCTGCATTACTATTAGTGTACTCATCATTCCTATCACCCATCTCCTCCCACTTATGACTGCATGACTCTAACTTTGTTGCTGGTATCCTTATGATTTATATTGATATTGTTTCCTAGTATGATTTGATTGCTTATTTGTACCCTATGATTATCATTAAGTGTTGTACTTTATGATTCTTGACTAATGTATCTTGTGTTTTTATGTACCTGAGACGGTAGACACCAAAGACAAATTCCTTGTGTGTCCATTCACACTTGGCAAATAAAGAATTCTATTCTATTCTATTCTATTCTATTCTATTCTATTCTATTCTATTCCAGTTCTCTAGTAATTCCAAGTTTATCAATAAACATAACCCATTTAAATAAAAGTTCTTTTCAGGTCCTCCACAATTTTTAAGAATAGGAAGGGTACTGAGAAAAAACAGTTTTTTAAAAAAAAAACTGTTCTGAGAGATTCTTCCTTACTGAGATCCTCCTCCTTGCAAAGCCTTTCTTCACAGCTCCCGCTTAGCTCCGCCCCTCCGCGTCAACCGCCAATGCGCAAGCGAAACTGCTCAAGGAATCCCAGCTCCGCTTTTCTCACCGTGGCGGCAATGTCCTCAGCTAACCCCGCCTCTTATTCCTGTGATTGGCTAGACTCAGGGTCACATAGAGGCACTCCCTTATTAAGTATTTAATTCTTGGTCCCTTTAAAATGAAACCCGTGGCAAGGGCTCGACCTTTGGTGCCCGAGACATTAAAATAAAATAAAACATTTCCGAGCCCCTATTGGTCTCGGCCACATAGTCTCTATATTCTGATTGGTTATAAACCTTCAAATCGAGGCGGGACCAACCAATCAATCTTCGGCAGCCCGCCCATTTTCTCCTTTTGCATTCCGCGGACTCAAAATCTAGGTGAGGGTTGCGTGAGGTGAGAGAGTCTCGCGGGTCTCGTTGGCAAAAAGAACGTGGAGGGTGGGACCGAGAACGGAGAAGGACGCCTTTCATTGGCTGCAAGGCGGAGGCTCTTTTCCCCACCCCTCGCCTTTGATCCTTTTCGTGCACTGAGAGCCGTCGAAACCGAGTCCCCGCTGTGTGGGGTTGAACCGCTTCTTTGGGATTGGACGAGACGGCTCCGGCGCAGCCTTCCGAGCGATGCTTCCTATTGGTTGGAAGGGCAGAGGTGGGGAGGATGCGCGCGCGCGCCCGAAGCGCGAATGCCGCGCGCGCGCCGTCCGACTGATGGGAAAGGCGAAGAGGGGGGGGGAGTTAAGCGAAGGGCGGCGGGGCGCGCGCATGCGCGTCCCCGCCGCTCTTTCGCTCTACGCTCCGCTCTGGGGCTCCCGTGAGGAGAAGGAGGTGGCGGCGACGAGGAGTCGCGGCGGCCGGTCCGGCGGCCCGAAGGGACGACGGAGGAAGACGAGGAGGCGGCCACGGCTGCCAGTGGAGGAGGCGTGGGGGGGGCGCCGTCTGCGACTACGTGGGGCGGCGCTGTGGGCCCTGAGTGACCCCCCGCCCGCCCGCCCGCCTCTCTCCCCCCCCCCCCCCCCCCCCCCCCCCCCCTCCCCCCCCCCCCCCCCCCCCCCCCCTGCGCTCGCTCCCCCTCCCCCCCCCCCCACCTTCTCTCTCCAAGCACTGGGTCAGGCTGTCAGGCAAGAGCGCCCACCTAGCCAAAGGGAGACGGGTCTAGAAAAAGGCTCGGGGGGAGGGACTGGGTGAGTGGGCTGAGGAGTCTCAAGAGCGTCCCTGGGTGCTTCCTCTTTCTGCTGCTGGCTTTTCTTGTCGCCCCTTCCTCCGTCTCGTCCATCATCCCATTCCTTCCTTTCTGTCACCTGTTTGGTTTTTTTTTTTTTCCTTCCCCCCCTTAGCGCTGTCAGTTTCTTTTCTTCTCTCTTTGCCGCCCTCCTTCGCTTTCCATTCATTCTCTCTTCCAGTTTTCATGCTACTCTTCCAACCCTTTAAACGTACAAGAGTTTCTCCTGCACTTCAAATCCTCCTCTAGATTTTTCAGAAAAAATTTCAACTCCCCTTGCCTTTTTTTCCTCTTCTTATCGGTCGTCTTCACCTTTAATTCAAGACCGCAGTTTTTCTTTTCCTCCACTTCTGTTTCCCATTTTGATTATTTATTGCCTGTTTTTTACACATACTCTCACAGCAGGCTTTCGCTTGGCTTTAAAAAAAAGTTTGTCTTTTCAACCATTAAGTATGCTGTTCATTGTTTAGTACACTGTCTGTATCTATGCTTTTGCTTCCCAAACTTTTTTCTTAAAGCAAGAAATTATTTCCTCTTATATTTTTGCACCCTTTAATGTTTTCTCCTTTTTAAAGTGTTCTGTTTCTTGCTTTTTTACTTTGACATTTTCCATCTTTTTTTCAACTGCTTAACAGTTTTTACCTATATTTATTTCTTCTCACTTTTAAAAGGTGTTTGTCTTGTAGAATTTGGCTTCCTTTCTTGCCACTTCATTCTATTACTTTTAAATACTTTAAATCCATTCATTTCAAATCCATTTTCCTTGTTTTTCTATAGTTTCCTTCTTTTCCCTTTATGTTCTTTATTCTTTACAATATTTTTTTAAAAATCACACTTTTACCTGATTGCTTCACATTCCTTTTTGCAGTTTTGTTTTCTTGCTTGTTCTTTCACTGTTCTATTTTCTGCCACTAGCTTTTCCTTTAATCTTCTCTTTCAACTTCTTGCAACCTTATGTTCTTTATTGATGATTTAAATTGCCTTATTTAGCTTCCAAATTTTAAATCTTCAGTTTATTTCCTTTGTTCTGTTTCCCCCCTCCATTTTTAATTGTCAATCCTATTCTTCCATTCTTTCCTAATTTTCTTCCCCTTATTAATTTTGGAAACTTTCATTTCCGCTAACTTGATGTCTCTTGACCTGTTCAACTCTTTGGAAGTTGTTCATGTATTTCCAAATTTAATATAAAAGGTAGATGGATGTATATCCAGAGCAGAAAGGAGGAAAGGTGTAGAAGGCCTTCAGCATCCTACATGTTTTGACAAGATAAATGAAAAGGATGTGGGAATGGAAGGGGTGGGTTTGTCAGTACTCCTAACATTTTTTAGGGGGGTGAACTTGCATCCTTTTTCTGGAGGGGAGGGGGATTGAGTTGAAATTTCAAGACTGGCCCAGTTGAAGTGGAGGAGGTATGGCATTTTAGTACCAACTGCACCAGCCATCTTGGGGGAAGGGGGTTTATTGCATGCTCATACGCACATATACAAGCCTCCATTTTCTCAGATTGATGAAGACATAAAGGCCTGTTGAGCTCCATGTTTTTGAAGGTGGGCAACTTGTTTAGGAAAGTGTAGTAAACTTCATTTTTGTGGCCAAATGACAGCTTGACCCAGTTGTTATCCAATCAGAGGGCATCATCTTGAATGTCTCTTTGTAGTGCTACAGTCAGCGCAAAAATGATGGCGGCTTACAATGGCGGTACATCTGCAGCAGCAGCAGGTCACCACCACCATCACCACCATCACCTTCCTCACCTTCCCCCTCCTCATCTCCATCACCATCACCATTCTCAACACCACTTGCACCCGGGTTCTGCAGCCGCAGTACATCCTGTACAGCAACATAGTTCTTCAGCGGCGGCAGCTGCAGCAGCAGCAGCTGCTGCCGCCATGTTAAATCCGGGGCAGCAGCAGCCATATTTTCCATCCCCGGCACCAGGTCAAGCACCTGGACCGGCAGCAGCAGCCCCAGCTCAGGTACAAGCTGCAGCAGCTGCTGCAGTTAAAGCGCACCATCATCAGCATACTCATCATTCACAGCAACAACTGGATATTGAACCAGACAGGCCTATTGGATATGGAGCCTTTGGTGTTGTCTGGTGAGTAAAGGGAGTGAAGTCTTGTACTCTAGTGGTTTCTAAGCCACAGTATAACACATTGTAATTCAGGCTGGAGTGCTCGAGGATTTTTCAACAAGTTCCCTTGCAGACCTGTTGTATTAAAAGGCTAGCTAAGGGATGTGATATAGAGGACTTTAGTTCAAATTTATCTTTAATATTTTAAAAACAATTTAAGGAATGCAAATTCATTACACCAAAATGACAAATTTTGTGATGTTTTGATTGGTAATTTTTACTTTGGGTTGTGCCCCAATATTGGCACCTATAAGGATTGAACTGTTTTTAATTGACCTGTATTTTTGCAAGGAGGTCCCTAAACATTTTTCCAGTTTGAAGGTTGCAATCATTCCAAAGTGGAAACTGATGTTTTTTATCCTTCCAGGAGCATGTTACCCATGTCTCTGTGCTTGGAAGTTGACTTTCCCAAACTTTTTCAGTACTATAACTTTAGCTTAATAGTTTCATCTTTTGAGTCTTAAATTTATATAGAAGTCCCACCGAATTTGGTGGCATATAGTTTATTGAAGCAAAATACATTTATGGGGGGAGGGGGGATGATGACAAATGTATAATGATGTCATTACACAAATAATATGATTTAACATACTGTGCCTATCACATATCAAGATAGTTCATAACTTAGTTACTTGCCTAATTATGTATCATGCAAGAGTTATCATTTTGAAGTCGTCATGGCATGTTATGGATATCTATGAGGGTGTTTGGAAATATATAAGATTACTGTTTACCTTGCAACATTACTTCAAGTTGAATGCTGCATGGTTATATTTTTTTCAGAACATTTTATTTTAGAAAAGTCTATGTTGCTTTATAAAATCAGGCTATATATTATTACTGCAGCTTTTACCATAGAAAAATTAGCATTCCATCCATCTATTTTTAATTATAAATAAAAAAACAGCTGAATTTATTTCTTTATTTCTTTAATAACTGGCTGAGGCATTGGAAACAATTTATTTTGGACTTTGGTCTTGGCAGGTGATTTGAGTCTGCATTTCCACTGCAATAGCACATAATGTATAATCTTAATTTGTGATCTCAGTACTTTATGCCTCACCCAATGGATTTTTCCATCTTGTTTTAGTTGGATATGATCCTGTCACCATGGTACAATCTGCATGCACTCTGTGAAAGGAAATTATTTATTTATTTATTTATTTATTCATTCATACATACATACATATATACATACCACCTTTATATGAATTTCAGGATTTAATAGTTCCCTGCTTGGTCTACGTCTCATAGTGGATATATGTTTTAAAGAAAAAAAGTTACTTATGTCACTTCCCTCACGTTTTGCTTTTATACCAAGTATTAACCAAAAAGCCGTTTAGATTTTTATAAAATACGTTTGCTTTTTATCTTTTATAGGAATCCATATTTATAACTTGTTTTCCTATATTGAGACATGAAGCCATATGTGCATGAATAAATGTTCATTTTTATTTAAAACAGAATCAGAAATTAGACAGCTGAAGAGCTTTTCAGTGGCCCATTAAAGTGATCCCAAAAAAGCTATGCTTTTTTATTTTGTATTCTGATACCACCAGAATAACAATTCTTGATTCAGCAAAATTTGCCTTTTGTCCTTTAAGGAATGCTTTGCTTGCTTTAGCTGTCATGCTATGACAGTGCTGAACTAAAACCATTGCATATATTAATGCTGTGATTCACTGGATTAATATGTATTGTAATTGAGTGCTTTGGAACAGAGTGGTTTTGACAGCTAAAGCACAGTTGGTTTTAGATTAGATTGGTGACTGAAAATATGCAAATATATTGCTTAAACAGGTTTCATCATTTAAAAACCTTAAATATATGCTTTGCTTTACATTACAATTTGTGAATTTTCCCACATCACAAATGAAAATTTTGTTAAATGTATTTGCTTTGCTGCATATAGCCTTCTGAAATTAAGAGAGAATTTTAAAATTAAAATAGATTGTCACTTTCTTCCAGGATTTATACTTATTTGATTTATTTTATGCTGCCCTCAGATCTATACATGTTTACTAAATGCTGTGAAAGTGAACTTTGGTAAATTTTATATATTTTAGTTTTCTAAGTCTTCTCTGTTTTAGTTTTTCTCTGTTGAAAAAGATGCTTGTATTATTTTTAATCCTGATGGTTTGGCTTGCTAGATAGCAATTTAAAATGATTGATATGTTATATATTCACAATAAGAATACTTTAGCAAAATGAATTTATTAGGATACAAATTCAACAGCTTTTAAAAACTTAAATACAATAATATATATAAAGCTGTTAATTTAAAATATGATTTTAAGAATTACTACTCAGAAAATACAACATTTTTAATTATAAAAGTTTTGAGAGGTTACTAGAGAGATATCTCTGCAAACCCTATTGTGGCAAAGACAACATAAAGAGTCTTGTGGCTTTTTAAAGACTAACACATTTATTGTCACATGTGCTTTCATGCATCATGTCCACTTCATCAGATAGATCTATTTTAATGATCATTCTACCACTTTGTTTGCTTGATCTTTGGCCATCAAAATAGATAAATATAGAAAATTTTCTTTTGCTCCATATAATCCAGATTTATTATATTTATTTTGCCAAAGTCACATATAAACAAAGACTGCTCTTTTTAGTTTGAAGAATACCGTGTCTCCTCTTTAAAAAACAAACTCAGAACTTAAATGTTGAAAGAATTAGCTCTACATTTAGAGAAATGACATATTTGCAAGTAGGTTCAGGATTGTTCTTTGTGACATTTACCATTCAGTCATGTGAGACCTCAATTGCAGTCTGAGATGGTAAAACTCTGGCGAACATTTTACCACCTCCGTGAGAATTGGACTTTGTGCTCAGGATTGGTTTTATATCTCTAACAAAGATGTGCGGTGCATCTTTGAAGTAAGTAAGGGACTGAAAGCTTGTAAAATGAGTCTGAGGTTTTTGTTTTTTAAAGTGCCACAAGTTTCTTAAAATTCAACCATGGCAAGTATAATACTTTTCATTTTCACTTTATTAAGCAACTTATAAAAGTTACTTTTTCAGTATTAGAATATTTGTACAGTGGCATAAATACAGGCTAAATCTCCTTCAGAAAATAGTATGTTTCTGTGGAGTTGAATATAATTTTACTGAGATAATGTATAGGAAACTATCCTGAACTCTGTTGTGATTTTATCTGTTGTTAAATTGAATTTTAAATTAAATTAGATTGTTCAGATAGTCACAGTTTTAAATTTTATTATTTATTGAATAGTCTTATATCTTGCTTTTCATTCAGCAGTTCAAGGCAGCATACTCAACACCAACAATCTTGCTGTTGTAGACCATAATATTATCTTCCATGAATTTAGAGTTATCAGTGATTATTAGTCATGGTGGTTATATATTGCTTCCAACGTTGGAAATCATAGGGCTATATATAAGTGTTGCTTGTTAAGATCCATTGGAAAGTATTCATAATGATGCCTGTGGACTTTCCATTATCCTTTAATGGAGCATGTAGGAAAAGAAACCTGAATTATTGAGTGCTTGTTCTGAAATATTACTTCCATGTAATGTTTATATTTGTATGACATTATTGAATAGTTTGAGATAATTACAGAATTATACACTGCTGTGATGTGAGCGCTTGCTTTTGTTTAAATGCTTATATTAAATGCTTATATTAAGGAGGCTAAAAAATTTCAAATACTAATGCTTAGTTTGTTTCAATGACCTTTGAAAAAGGTTAAAATTAAATTAAAGTAAAGTAAAGTAAAAATTTGAAAAAAAGATTGCTGCCATTTTTTTACATTCTCAAAAGCAATAAGAAAGATTCCCATTTTGAAGACTCCCTGGGTAAGATTAGTGTTGGCACTCCCACTGTAGTCTTCTGTGCTGTAGTTGAGTGGCTAGTGTTAATATTGAATCTTTTGTTGCACACTGTTTTTCCAGTTCACTGATGTAGTGCATCAGTCTTAAGCTGTTACAGCATGATGTTTTGGCAGTTCTTCACATATAGTTGACCCTTGCTGGTCAACTGAGTGCATTTCCAGAGTATTCTCTTGGTTTTGCTATTACAGGCAATATTGCTTTCCTTTTGGCCGAATCTGATTGTTGGGGAAATAATGATAAACTGAATACTGTAGTTGTATACAGTATGAAAAATGTCCACTTGTTTACAGTAGTATAGATCAGTTTCACTTTGTGTGTTTCAGAATACGCTAAAACAAAAAGGCAGGTGCAGTTTTGGGGTGAGCTTCTGTCCTCATCCCAGCTTCTGCCCACCTAGCAGTTTGAAAGCATGCAAATGCAAGTAGATAAATAGGTACTACTTTGGTGGGAAGATAACAGCACTTTATGATGTCACATGACAATGAAAATGTCTTAGGACAATCTGGCTCAATGATCTTGAAATGGAGGTGAGCACCACCCCCTATAGTCGGCAATGACTACCAGAGTAAAATCCACAGGGACTCCATATTAAAAAATGGAGAACTTTCTTGGTATAAGAATAGGAATATTAATAGTAATTAAATTAAAGTCTATACCAATTTACTTGAGGTTTCATTGATTGCAAATCCTACCATGGAATCTCTTTCTTAAAATGAAGCAGGGTGATATTCATAATTCTAAAATTCTAAAAAAATTTTTAAAAAACTATGTTTAATAATGTCTATTAAGAAGAACTTCAGGAATTTGGAATACATGAAAATACCTGTAGCATTTGTGAAATCCTTCTAAGAAATCATTGAAGTGGAATTGTTTTCAGTATGCTATTATCTTGGTTGCTGAAGAGCCAGTTTTCTTTGGATTCTGCTGTGATTAATAAACTTTTTTATTCTCAGTAATAGCAAAACAGTTAAAGTATTGTGCAACGGGGACACTACTGCTCCATATTGCTCAGCACTAAGAAACCTTGGAATATACATGTTTTCTGAAGAGTCTAATGTTCCTGATAATACTAGAGAATTGCCTTCTGACGGAGAAAG